CAATTTAGCCTTCAAATTTTGATTTGTTTTAATTTAGTCCCTTATTATTTGTTTCATTTATTTGTTTTGAGCTTGGTAATTTGATATTCATGCAAATAGGTCCTTATATTTGTGATTGTTTTACTTTTATTTGATGTTGCATTTTTCTTTTTTTTTAAAAATGTTTATTATTTTAGATTTATTAAGTGATTCGATATCTCAATGTTTAGATCTTTTGATTTTGTTCTTAGATTAGGTTAGAACTCGAATCAGACTTAGAAATTAGGGCAACACATTAGTTATTAATTAGGGAGCAATTCAAGTCGAGTTAGCGCATAAGATGCCCGATTACTCGAATCGATTGTTCGACTCTTTTAAAATTTATTAATTATCAATATAAAAAATAAAAAGAGAAACTTTAGGCTTAGTCCCTTTTTAATAGGCTAATTTAGATAACAATTAGGTTCTTTTTGGTTTATTAATTAGTTCTCAACTTTAGAAATTATTGATTTAGGCCCTTATTTTTTTAGTCTTTTAGGACTCGTGTTTAGATCTTGGCCTTTTTAGTCCCCGAACTTCGATTAAAGCTTTAATATTGACATAATTAAATAGGTTAAATAGAGCATCCACTTTTCGCTAGATTTCAATATAGTCCTCTTAATTTAGGGAATAATTCGAGTTGGCCCTTGCATAATGCTCAAGGGACCATCTCGGTTATTCGATTCAATAATTGGTTTAAAAATAAAATAGAATTAATATTAGAACCTACACTTCTAGGTTTGTGCCTCTAGGTTCCTTAATTTTCATAATTTGACACTTTAAGCTAGAAAAAACCTTAATTCACCATTAGTTTAATTAGGATAAATAAAATTTGTTTGATTGCATTTTATTTTTAAACCTAAGGCAATGTTCACTTATTAGGGAGTTAATGATATATCTCTCGTAAGTATGATAAGGGGTGACTACTGGTGATTCCTGAAATAGGTCGACATCCTTTTCAAAAGTTGCATCATGATTTTCTAAAATTAAGGCAATGTCCGGTTATTAGGCACAATAGCTTAAGGCAATGTTCACTTATTAGGGAGTTAATGATATATCTCTCGTAAGTATGATAAGGGGTGACTACTGGTGATTCCTGAAATAGGTCGACATCCTTTTCAAAAGTTGCATCATGATTTTCTAAAATTTTCAACTTTGCATCCGTAATGAGTTTCAAATTAAATAAAGATCGAACTCAAAATTTCTGATTTTAAATATATGGTAATCAACTAGGTATCAATTTTTTGGCGCTTGTGGGGGTGCTAATCGTTCCCCACACGTAACCGACTCCTGAACCTAATTTTTGGATTTTCGCAGACCTTAAAACTCAGTATTTTGATAAAAAAAGATAAAAGGTTTTATTAAAATCACCCGATTTTTATGGTGTCCCAATCACACCTTAAATGATTGGTGGGGACTCCTCACATTTCAAAAATCTTTTCAAAAGAAAAACCCCCGAGTTGGTATCGGTCTTTCCCTGCCCGGGTGAAAAACGGTGTCGACACATGAATTACGAGTATCTATTTCTGATCAAGATCCTCATTTTACATCTTGATTTTAGGGTAAACTTTATGAATCTTTGGGTACATGTCTAAATATCACTACAAACTATTATCCATGGTTATATAGATAGTTAGAGAGGATAATTCAAATTTTGAAGGATATGTTAAGAAATTATATTATCGAGTTTTAGTACAGATGGAAATAGCATGTGTTGTTAGTTGAGTTTGTTTACAAGAATAATTTCTAGTCGAGCATTCAAATAGCACCCTTTAAGGCTCTTTCTCAACGTAAGTGTGAACTCTTCTCTGTTGGATTGAGCTTAAAGAGGAAAGTTTTTGGTTCAAAATTAGTACATTAGACTAAGGATACCATCAGATTGAATTTGAAGGGTAACGATTATTCTGAATGCAAGACAAAGTTGAAAGCCCAATTCATGAACCATGGAAAATCCAAGGTCAAACACTGTAATTTAGTAGCTAGTTTAGGGTATTTGAGATACTTTTCCAACTCCCAAGAAACCTAATCATCATTCTTGATTTTTCTCCTCTTTCATTTTTGCTCTGATCGACATCTTCATCATTGTTTTAGCCAGTAATCATCCTGTTACAAGCCTAAAAAAATCTCTTATGTTGCCACTTACCATCGATGTTCCTTGTTCGTTCGAACAAAGCCAATAAACCTAAAAATAGTTGCCTTTGAAATTTTGTCATCCCTGAAATCATCGTGGAAGTCCTAGTAAGGTCTCACCATGTTCTTCTCCTCTTTCTTTCTTTTTAATCAATCATTAGTATATGATCTATTGATCGATTAATCCAGATCAAATGCTATAGAGAGGAGGGCAACCTTTTCAATCCAGTTTACTCAATTCGTAAATGCTAGAATTTGACTTCTTAATCTTAATTAAAGAATTTAGTGTCTCATCTCATTAAATAAACTGATTGTAGCCAAAATCTACTAATCCATACAAATCAACAGTAAATCTACTACCTATGTAGCCAAATTGTTGTCACCATCAACCCTAGTCCAAACTGAACCCAACTATGCAACCCATGAATGTGGCCCAAAACCCAAGCCCTCTATTGAGGTCCAAAGACGACTGTGACAAGACCCTAAAACTTGCATCTTTTAAAACACAAACTTTTAAACTAAGAACCCGGTTTACACTCACAACCGAATCGAACTCAACTTGTATCCAACCCATTGAACGTTAATTCTGACAGATTGTTTACAATTAATTATTGACTTTTACTTTAACAGTTGATTTCGATTTTAATCTATCAACTCCAAAAAATCAACTTAAATTGCTCGATTTTGATTTTTATTTCTCATATATTGACTGATTCTATCATTCCTAATTTTCTAAAAGCATCTAATTGAGTTCGTAGTACACTAACAAATCGAATTGCTTAATTGATTGTTTTGGTAAATGAATCATAATTTAATGAAGCCAATGGAATATTATGGAGAATTGGATTTTGATTCTGCATCATTAACTTGTGCAGGTATTCAATGTCACAACGACTTGTGTAAGTTATAATAGGAAAAATGGGAGATATATGCGTATTAGTAATTATGTTGTTTAATCTACATTGGTACTCAACGGGACTAGTATTTTCTTATGTAGGCAACAATAGAGGAAAAACTCGCGCTCCGTGAATTTAGATCATATACTTCCTATAGAGGTGTGTGTAGTGTCGGATGCATTGAGAGTTGAGGGTGGACACGTACTCGCTTTGAAATTCGAACTTTCTTTAATCAGTTATCTATTCTATTGATTGTATTTACTCTGAAATTTTATGTGTCTGCCTTGAAGCTCAAATTTTCTTTGGTTAATTACTTATTTTACTGACGGTGTTTACCCTGAAATTTTATTTGTGCCCACTCTTTTAAAAAATTTGTATTGTATATGTGCTCACCATAAAAAAATATTTCTGGATCCTACACTAAGTGTGTGTTTCGCTTGTGCTAAATCATTTTGTGTGTTACTATATTATATGTATGTTATTGTTATACATGTATTGATTGTTCATGGGGTGTGATTACCAAGATAACATACTCTATTGTCTGTATGACTTCCATTGCATGTTACTGTGAAATCTATACATTTGAACTGTATTGAGTAAGCATGTTGTTATTTGTACCGATGAGCATGTCTACATATAATTTGTATGGACTGATATAGAAATTTTTAAGTTTAGGGAGTATTTTAAAATGGATATCATACTGGGGATTGATATAAAATCTGTTAAAATTTGAGGATCGTGTATGCAATTATCTCTTTTATTTCTTTAAACTATATTATCCTTAAAAAATTACGCATATCAAATAACATGATTATATCTAGAATGTAATTTTAGATAAAATGTATGTAATTTAAATTCAACACTTAATTCTTTTAGTTTATTAAACAACACCTTAACCTATTCTTAGCATGAAACATTATTTAAAATAAATAGGGAAATAGTTTAATAAAAATCTATATACTTATATAAATAATTTAGATTTTTAATTATTAAATAATAGATTCAATCAATATCTTATTTGTAAAATTCTTATCATAAAGTTTGCGGCCATGGTCTCATAATGAATTTCATGGTGTAATCGGAACTAATGCTAACTAAAAGTTTAAGACCATATCTATGTATAAGGTGCCACTGCCATTATCTATGTATAAATGCCATAATCTTAACTTACACGACTATTAAATTTATGGCATAATACCAAAATTAGCCCCCCGACGTTTATCAAAATAATCATTTTCCCCTATATTATATTTTTTGGAGCATTTTGGCCACCCAACGTTTTATTTTGGCCCTGACGTTCATCATAGTAATCACTTTATCTTTTATTCTTTTTTTTTTCCTGAGCATTTTAGCCCACACCATTTCATTTTAGGTTAGAAAAGGCTCTTAGTTTGGACCGTTAATTGTGTGTTAACTAATGATTTTCATTTATAGAGGGAGTTTTTTGTCCCAAAGTAAAACGTTGGGGGCTTAAATGCTAAAAAAAAGGGCCAAAATGACCATTTTGATAAACGTTGGAGGCTATTTTTGGTATTATATGTAGATTTATATATTAAGATGTTTAATGACCAAGCAGGGATTGATCGAGGGAGTGGATGAAGGCAGTTACTTATTGAAAATTTAAAACTACTATATATTTTAGATTTTTTTTCTATGTATTTTCTATTAAAAATCTTTTTCGCTCCCTCTAGAATTTTATAAGTTTGCCCCTCCCTCTTAAAAGTTTAAATGTTCACCCCTATAATATGAAATTTTGCGTCCGTCCCTAACCAAGTACGACCATTTTATGAATATAGCCGGCCAACCCTACATTGGAAATGCCGTTAAAATTGCATAAATTTCGTTATCATCAATTCTCTAAATCATTTTTGTTTATTTGTAGATCTATTTCTCACTTCATATTTTATAATTAAGGAAATAGTTTAATCACCCATGGTAGCTTTCTTTCATCAAACCATGGCAAGTTCAAGTACATATGCAGAAAAACATTCAGAGACGAGCAGTTTTCTTCCTTCAGCCAGCAAATGGAACTCTGAATTGGATGTTTCCCTTCCTTCTCCCTACTCTAAATCATATGATTTTGAGCTTTTAATTGCAGATAAAACACATTACAAGCGTTTTCTTTACATTTCATTTGCTCTGGCGTTTCTTGTCCTAACACTTGGCCTGGTTCTGCATTTTTTGCCTCAAAAGAATCATCACCATCGACATTCAAACAATCTCACTCTTGCTGTTAACCGAGCTTTAACATTCTTTGATGCACAAAAGTGTAAGACTTCGTAATTTTATCCTTTTGAATTCGTCGTTGATTAGCATTCTCTGATGTTGATTGGAACATCGTTCACTTTTGTTTTTACAGCTGGGAGTTATCCGAGTAATAGTCCAATAAGTTTCCGAGGAAGTTCGGGTTTGCAGGATGGGAATTCAAGCAATATCCATGCTGATCTTGTGGGTGGATTTTATGATTCCGGCAACAACATCAAGTTCACTTTCCCTACAGCTTATACCATCACCTTGTTGAGTTGGTCGGTTATTGAATATCATCGAAAATATGCAGATATCGGCGAGCTTGAGCATATAAAAGATGTTATCAAATGGGGCAGTGACTACTTGCTCAAGGTCTTTGTCCCTCCAAGTGAAAAATCTGACTCCACGGTGTTGTATTCACAGGCAAGCATTTGCATATATTATTTGTCTCAAAGTACCAAAATGGTATACTGACATTTGAGACTGTTCTCTGGTGTGTCGTTAGGTCGGAAGTGCAGGTAACAACACAAAAAATAGAGTCCCTAACGACATAAATTGCTGGCAAAGGCCGGAAGACATGAGCTACAAGAGGCCTGTCTCGGTTTGCAACGAGACAGCTTCCGATTTAGCAGGGGAAATCATTGCAGCACTATCAGCAGCTTCAATAGTATTCAAACAAGACAATGGATATTCACTAGGATTAGTTCAAACAGCAGAGAAGATATACGAGATTATTGAGAAAGCAGAACGGAATCGTCGAGGCGTAACTTACACGACCATCGATGCTTGTGGAGGGGAAGCAAGAAAGTTTTACGACTCGTCGGGGTACAAAGATGAGTTGGTTTGGGGAGGCACTTGGTTGTTCTTTGCTACTGGGAACCATACTTATCTTGACTATGCCACTGCACACTTTGCAGCCGCAACTGATAATGAAACAATTGACGACAAAGGGATTTTCTATTGGAATAACAAGATCTCTGCCAATGCGGTAATAGGAATTAATATGTTTCATTATAATTTGGTGCATACATTACAAGGACTTTTAAATTCATTTCTTGTTGTATTTGCTTTTGTAGGTTTTGTTTACAAGGCTTCGTTTTTTTCGTGATGTTGGATTTCCCTATGAAAAAGCATTAGGATTAGCCTCCAACATGACTGATCAGCTTATGTGTTCGTATCTTTCAGAAAAATACTTCAATACTACGCCTGGTAAGTTCATGTAGAAAATTTATTAAATTTGGACCGACGCAAAATCTTATGTTAGGGACGATCTTCTAATATTTTATGAGGAAACAAACTTAGAAAATTCTATGAGACGAAAATAGGTTGTCAATGAAAAATACAAAGAGATATAAAATATATACTAATTTAAATTTTCAGGGGGACAATTGTCCCTACCTGTCCCCTTCGGTGGATTTTAGAAGTGGTCTCATTCATGCAATTAGGCACAAAACATGGTTGTATGCTTTGTTTGTAGATGAGTTTCATCTAGGGTGGTAAACGAGTAAAATCGAGTTCGAGTATTGTTAAGCTTAAGTTGATTAGAATATTCTTGAGTTTAAAAATATCAAGATCAACTCAAAATTGAAATATAAAATTAAAACTCAACTCAACTCAACTCGAAAACTCGCAAACTTAAAATTTTTAAGCTTAACTTTAAATAAAAAAATTGAAGCACAAACTTGAGAAAACTTGAACTTGAAATATCCTCAAACTTAGTTCGATTGAAGCTTGAGCTCATTTAAAGCTCCGACTCAAATTGAACATAAATCTTAAATACATGAAAACCTTATATTGTGTTTTTTAATAAAAAAACATATAAATGTTAATATTATTAATAATTTAATTTAAAAAAATTATATATATTTTTTCAAATCGGGTATCAAATTGTTTGCTTTAACTAGTTGAAAACTCGAGTTGAATTCGAACTTGAGTCATGTTAATCCGATCAGAGTATTGACCCATTTTTTAACAAATCAAATTCGAATAACTTGCAGCATGTCTCGTTTAATTTACAACCCTAATTTCATAATCAATGGTGTTGTATGATTTAATGGTAGGTGGGTTGATCCTCTTAAGGCCTGATAACGGTGGACTACTCCAATTTGCAGCCACGGCATCATTCTTGGGTAAATTATACAACGATTATCTTACTCTTCTTCACATATCCGGTTGGAATTGCAGCGATGGTGGGTTTTCTTTGGAAATGTTACAAAGCTTCTCCACTTCTCAGGTAAGCCTATATTTTGTTAAGTATGCAAGTACTAATCATGCAATAATGCATTAAAACAGCAGTCTTTATTGTTTTTCCTCGTTCATACAGATTAATTACATTCTAGGTGATAATCCGAGGAAGATGAGCTACATGGTCGGCTTTGGAGATCAATATCCAACACGAGTTCACCACCGGAGTGCATCGATCCCTTGGGATGGTCAATATCACTCCTGTGCCGAAGGTGGCAGATGGCTGAACTCGCAAGATCCAAATCCGAATACAATTTCGGGAGCAATGGTTGCTGGACCAGATCGGTTTGATGATTTCTCCGATGAAAGGGTCAAACCGTGGTTCACTGAACCAAGTATAGCAAGCAATGCTGGTTTGGTTGCAGCACTCATTGCACATCATGACCCTCCCCATCCATCTTCAGCTTCTAATACCCCTAATCTAGGCCTGGACTTGATGGGGATCTTTGAAAAAGTTCATTTCAAGTCTTAAATTCATTCACAGTCTAGCCCTAATCCACTTCTGTTTACCAACATTCACATGGCATGAATGGGATCAAGGACAAAACAAACAGCATAATGTTTGAAACTCCTAATATTTGCTGCATTTTCAAATTTTAGATGATGAAGCGTCAAAGAAGAATGAACATGCACGAAAAAGAAACATCACAAGTCCAGCCAAAGACCATAGAAAAGGTAAACTAGAAGAAAAACGGACCACTCGTATCGGATAAACATTTACATATACATAGAAACATGGAGAAAAAACCAACTCATTTTATCCCAAATAGAAGTTGCTGCAAGATGAGCCCTGTTGCAGATCATATGAGAATTCAAATCATCATCACTGCAAGTTTGCACTGAAAATTAAAATAAGACATGCATTACTTCACTATTCGGAAGGCTTAAACATCAATTTTGGCCAAAACAAAATGGCTGATGGTTAAGGCAAGCAAGATATCTAGCATAAGAGGGGAAAAATCAATTGGGTTAAGTTTCTACCAAGTTCTTTCCATTGTCTCCCATGGAGCATACTCCGAGAAGCTCCTGGTTACACTGACATGAGGGGAATAGCAATTCAGTCTAAACAAATAATACCGGTCAAGGCAGAGGGATCGAGCTCCCAATATCCTCTCCAGCGACTATCCTCTCCTGTGTGCTGGAAAGCTGGAATCTGATGAGAAAATCTAGCAAATTCAGTCTCTGGAATCTCAAGAACACCACTTGTAGATCTTTGACTTCTTGGAGCCCTATAAAGTGGTTTAGAACTGTTTAAACATGAGAGAACCATAACTTTTTTTTTCTTTTCATTATCTTCCAACACTTCCACAATGTCGCATTCACCTTTACCCAAGTCTGAATCTGCAGAGCTCCATCTCTTATATATTGCCCAAACCTCCCCCTTTCTAGGGAAAATTTTGAATCTGTTCTTTCCTGTGGGCTCAACTCTTACTTGATGCGAGACTTCATTACAGGAGACAACCTTGGTTTGACCACTTTTAACTTTAAATATCCCACAACAAATGGGCAATTTCAAGTCTTTGGGTCTTGAGCACACCTCCAGCAGTGCCACATGCAATCTGAAATCAGGAGTAGCTTCGATCTTCTTAACTTGGGAGTAGTTCTTCGGCATTCCATCCCCACAATACAATGCCCATATCTGATCAACAGAGAATTTGTCCTCGGATTTCTCCCTCTTAAAATCATAACACTCTAAATTTGAAGTTTTCCGTGCTAGAGACATTGGTGTAGAGACACTTGAGCTTTTAGTAACATCAACTGTACCACCACCCCCCTCATGTAAATGCATGTTACCAACAGCTGGATTCAAGGAAACTTTTCCTTCTGTATTACCAAAAATGCCATGCTTTTCATTTTTGTTGGAAACTAAATGCTTCTCGCCATTTTCCCTAGTGTCATTTTGACATGCATTTGCTTGACTGCTGCTCAAATCGCTCGGTGACCTACGAGGTTTTAGGCAATCTGTAGTGAGATCAATTTTCTCACACTTTTTCTGGGTGTTCATCTCCTGGACAGCATCATTTGAAATAGAACTTCCTTTGGGCTGAATCAAGTTGCAATCTCTTATAGCTTCGATACTTTCATCCTCATTCTTGTGATAAACCGCGTCAACTTGACCACCATGATCTTTAAGCACACAACGTGAACCCCTTGTAGATTTTCTGGACACAGAGGCTTCCTTTTCAATATTACCCTTATGATTATTTACAGGAGTGAGATTCCTCTCTGAATCTATTGTAGCTTTTGCTTGATTTTGAGGATGATTAGGACTAGAACAATTTTCGGCATTGTGATTACTCAGCTTCATATCACCAGAATCAACCAGCTCAAAAAGGTAAGTAGGAAGAGCAGCAGGATCCAACTCAAAAGATCCCACAGGTATACCTTCTCTTTCATTGCCAGTCATTCTGAATGAGGGAACTTGATGTGCAAATCTATAAAGCTCAAATGATGAAATCTGAAATGAGATAACACCATCACGTTCAGTTTGTCGAAAAATACTGACAAACCCTTTCACTTTACCCAAATGAGCAACCCCAATGCCAACTTCCTTATCAAAATCAGTGAGAACCTCCACAAAATCATACTGGTACGGTGGTTTATGCTTTTCTGGCTCTGAAACCCATTTAACATCCCAATCTTTGAAGAGAGCCCAAATTTCCCCTTTCCGAGGATAAACAAAAAAGCATTTACTGGAAAGTTTTATGGGGTCAATCCAATGGGAGAACATTAGACGATCTACACATACCTCTGATGACCCATTGCAGTACTTGCCACAAGAAACAGGCAGATCCAGATCGACCCAGTTCTGCTGATTTTCCTCACCCGGGTCAGGCTCTAGCCAAGTAATTTGTAGCTTAAAACCAGGACGGTACACCTTCTTCACCCGTGCATAAAATCTTGGCATGCCATCCAGTGTGTCATATATAGCCCAGACTTGATTAACAGCAAAAATGTTCTCAGACCTGTACTTCTCAAAATCAGTGAACTCAGGATCAGGGTATTCAAGTTCCTGAGGAGTTGGATTCACGTCTCTACTTGACTCAAAACCACTATCAAACTGTTGCACCTTATTTTTATCAAGTATAACAGTTTCCTCTTCCTTCCCTTTAGACTCTACAGTTTTCCTTTTCTTTTTCATGACATCCTCTTCAGGACGATCACTTGCTTTCTGTTTGACTTCTTTCTTACATACATCTGCAGCAGTTGTAAAGCCACCAGAATTATCCTTTTTCATTACCTCATCATCCACCTTTCCCTCATTGGCATTGGGTGGTGTCATTACCTTGGACTTTTTATATGGGCTTTCAAAATCATCATCATCATCTGCTATTTTTTCCTCATAAGAAATAGGTTGTTTTTGCCTTGAAGGTCTCCTAGAAGGATGGCCTTCATTCACATTTGAATTTTCCCTAGTATTACTATTGCAATCTTCCTTGAGAACCACATTTTCAACTTTGATTCCCCTGCCAGTTTCACAACTTACATCAGACTCTTCTACTGACTTCCACCCTCTCTTCTTCTTGGCATTTCTTGAAGTTCCTGATTCCTTTGGCTTTGCGGCAGTGGGCTTACACTTTTCAACACCTTTCTTTCTATCTCTCATGTTTGAACTCTCATCTACTTTCTGAGCTGTGAACCCCTCCTTAGACTGGTGCATTTTAACCCCTACTTTCTCTTGTTTCTTAGAACCACCAACCTGAAAGCTTCCTGCCTTTGGAATGGGAGCAGACTCGGCAAATTTATGTGGGATGTGGACACCAGAAGGCTTGCCACTATTGTAATGCGAAGATGTGTTATAAGGGACCTGATTGGAGAACTGATTCCATGAGTATCCCTGAGGACCCAAGTCATGGGCAATGAAGATGGATCCACATGAAAGACAACGTAACATCCTGTTCACAAAATCTTTGTCACTCTGGAACTTGAAACCACAAACACTGCAGAGGGTCCAAAATGTTAGATGTTGTGCTTGTTGATAGGCATTCGAAGCTGTGAAATTTGAAGAACAATTCTTGTAGTTGTTAGCAAAACCAGACTGACTATTGACAGAGGATGCCCTATTTGATGGGTGAAAAGTTGGCTTTGGTATAGTTTTCACTAAGACTCTACACTTCAAATCATATTGAGAACGTGCCATTTGGTCTGAAAGTACCCTGTTTGCTTCCCCAATTAGCTTAAAAGCAGCCTCAGCACCAGGAAATTTATTCTTGTCCGGATGAAGCAATAGTGCAAGCTTTCTAAACTGCTTCTTGATTAAACTCTCACCAGCTGACTGTTCGGTTTGAAGAATCCCATACCAATCCTTTTCTGACCCGTATATGCTGTGTTTTGCAAAATAGTGAACATTACAAACTGCCATCAATTGGGTTATGTTGTCAAGCTCGGGAAACAATTTCTGTGCCCTCAATGCAAACTTCTTCGCAGCCTCAAAATCACCATTTTGCATCTTCTGCTCAGCGATTACCTTTGCTCTGATAGCCTCCTCTTTGTTACATTCCATGGCTGATAGGACGTACAGATTGTACACTTGGATTTCTGAACCTATCTATCTTTTGACCACTATCATCCAAAATATTCAACCTGCACCAATGCAACCAAACAACTTTAATCAAATATATCCAATAATTCTCCAATTAAAGCCTAAAGTTGAAACAATTCACACACACCAGACACCCACCATTATAGCAACAATCATCAAAATATCTGCTAGTCTCAGCAGTCAACACACCCAGATTTAAATGAGACACGAGGACCAGCCTTCAACACTGAACAGTTCCTAGCAGCCAGGTACCTGTAAAACCCGATACTCACAGAAGCTAAGAATTCAAAGTGTAGAGCCTGCAACAAATTCGAAAGATAACAAATAAAGCCACTGGCCCATTACTAAATGTTATTAGGATTAGAGTGTCAAAGTAACTAAACATGTCAACCAAAACATAACGGTTGAAGCCAAAGAAGATTCAATAATAAAATAATGGGATCAGATTTCATTGTAAGAAAAATGCCACAAAATCATAGCAACCAACCAACCATATTAACAAGAAATTAAGTTAAAATTAATATCGATCTAAGAGTTGAGAACCCAGAAAAATAAGAACAAAAAAGCACACACATAACAAGTATATATTCTGCTTATTAGTTGGTACATGCTAGAAAAAGGAAACAAGTGAAGAGCAAAATCAGTCTTTTTAACATGCATTCATATACATTGGCAGCAGAAAAATAAATAAAACAGAACAAAATATCAGCTAGCAGATCTGATTAATTCTAAGCAGTTTAGATAAAATATTAAGAAGATACCCTACTTGTCTAATTTCCCCTTTTTTTTTCAAGAACCAAAACAATCCCCAGACTCCGCAGAATCCATAAAATCCAAACTACATTCATCCAAAAGCAGATGAAAAAGCCCATAAACAAACGAAAACAAGGAAGCCATCTATGATTTAACCATTGAACAAACAGTATACTATATATAACTAAACAAGTTAACAAAGAAATAAAGCAAACCCAGATTGGGAAAAAAGGTTTAAAAAGACAGTCATACCCACCAAGTCCAAAGTGCATGAGACTTTGAATCATTAAAAGAAAGAAATACAGATCAGAATCAGATACTAGAAACAGCCGAAACGAAACTTACATTGAAAAGGTAGTTATAAATGTGAGGCAAATTCTTAAAGTACTTGGGCGAATAGAACTAGTGGATGTACAGAGTGAGAGGGAACAAAATACAAAATTAACAAGAAAAAGAGGGAAAAGTTTTTGGGTTAGGAGCGAAATTTGAGAAGAGAAGAAGAGGCTTGAAACTCTTTTGAGAGACAACTCCCAAGAGCATTTCTCTTTTTTTTATTCTAGCAAAATATTGGGTTAAAGACCACGTTCTTGCTTGTGTGTTTGCCTTTATTAATTTTTGTTTCTTAGTTTGAAATGCAAACCTAATTTAAAGAAATTCATTATGGCATTGATCAAGTATTGGGCTTGTTCCTATGTTTGTTTTTAATTGGGATTGGCCTAAGTTTGTTTTCAATTGGGCTTGGATCATTCGAATTTCAACTTGTAATATGAAAATTGGGTTTGAGCATTCCACTCCCTTGTTAGAAGTTGTTTTGTCCTTTTAAACAAAGCATTGTGACCATCATTGCATTGAGGATGACTTGCACCCATATTGAAATGTCTTTAATTTGTATTTACATGTTTTGAAGAGTAAGCAATTATTAAAATCATAAAAGGAAAAGTAAAAAACCAAAGTCGTTGAATAATCTATCAATTCGAGGAATATTGTAAGTTTAGATTAAGTTATTGTACTCAAAATCGAGTATGTATTTCAGTTTATGCTTTATGTGAATTCAATTTGTGTAGGAATTATATGTAAAAATGTTTAAACTATGATTTTAACTCTAAATTCAGCATTTGACTAGCATGTTAAATGAAAAGGTATGTTATTATGTGTTTCGATATGAACTTTTGATGTTTTGATATATTCTAGCATGCTAGTACATGTAATTGATATGTGAAATGTGATTTCTTTATGAAAATGTGTTAATTGTCACATTTAGTAATAAAATTAAGCTAAGTGCTCCATTGGATAATAAAAATAAGTTGTGTAATAGTCCGATAATTAAAACAAGTTGTATGATAATCTGATAATAACAATGACAATTTCTAAAACTATGCTAATATGATTAAAATGAATCATTAGTTGTTAGTTTAGTTTTGAATACAATTGACATGTCATAGTGTCTATAACGCTTGGTACATGTTATTTAAAACTATAGTCTTGATGAAGAAGAGGAATGATAATTATTTTTTATATCATACTAATACTTGAGGAGAATGTGAAATCTGAGTATTTATAGACTACTAATAGACCGTCGAATTAAAATAATGAAAACATATTTAAAATACTTTTCTATGCTTAGGAGACATTGTTATATGCTCTGTTATGTTAAGAAACTTACAATATGTTTTGCTATGAAATCATACCATGAATATTTGAAAGCAATGTTTAGTTTAGTTATGCATTAATGTTATGTTTCGATTACTATGATATGATTCGTTTATGTTTTGACTACTTCACTAAGCTTCTCAAAACTCACCATGTTTGTTTAACTCTCTTTGTAGGAGTTTGATTTGTTATATTGTTCTAGATTGCATTTGGGAGCTCACAAGTCAAATGTTGACATCTAATTATGTAAAACTCTTTGTTCTGAAACTTTTAGGATGGTAGCATGTAATTTAGCTCTTTTGAATATGTTATGTTATACACTTATATGTGTTGTTATGTTAATGCTATGGTTGATATGCTTAAATTATATTTATAAATGCAGTTGTGGGTAAGTATGATAAATATGAATGTATGCGTTTCTATTTAGCATGTTTAGTAGTTGTGTAACATGTAACATATATATTGTGTTGTGAAATATGTTGTGTATTGGGATTTTTTTGTGTATTTCTAGGTAGTTAATAGGTGAATATGTAAATTTTGTGATGATGGTTGAATCATGAACTAGCCTTAAATTAAAAAAGCTTGTTAGATTGATGTGAAAGAGTGATCTATGATTGGATTTGTAACACCCCAAAAACTAGTCTAAAATTTGTTTGATGCCCGATGATCGAAAAATTCGTTCCAGATAAGTTATTTTGATATTTTTGAATTTCCGAGATTGGGATTAATTTCATTAAATAAATAAGATTAAAATGTAATTTACTTTGAAAATGGTTTAAAGACTAAAATGTAATAGATGAAGAATATTATGACTTTAGTGAAAAATGAAAACTTAGGTGTTCAAATGAAAACAAGGAAAAATATTAATGACTAAAGGATTGACTAGAGCATGCAATGATTAGTGTAAGAAGTAGAAAAGATCAAGGACTAGTTCCATGATTGTTAGTTGTTTTGAAAATTTGTTGAATTATAAAACTTTTCAAATCTAGAGTAATTTCCTTCTTACTTCCTTTTTTTCTCCTAAATTGGAAAAGAACAATTATTGCTCTACAATGACTTACACTATCCTCATCAGTTTGCTTTGAACTCACTCCCATTAAAACTCAAAGCATAGTTAGAATCAAAGTCCAAGCTCAAAGAGACACTATTCTCCATCGAGGATCATTATAGCTAGCCTTCAAAAATTTTAGAATATTGCTGCAACAAAGAACTATGAACAATTCATCTTGAAACTATCTTTTTGTCTCAAAAAGAATTTATTTTACATGATTCACCAAAAATAGGTTATAATCCATCCATTCACTCTATCATCACTTAACATAGTTGACAAAAAATTTGTGCCCATCCTAAAGTAGTTTTCGTACCTCTGGTGCTCGAATTTAACGTGTGTTTAATTTTTATAGATCAACAACACGTATATGTAATAGGGATTTTTATACCAATTAATTTCTCTACAATTTATAAATGTTATAGTATTGTATATATTAATGATGAGCATTCGGTGTTTGTAGAAAATGTGGAAGAAGAGTAGTTGAACACAATTTTAAAGGAAATTTGTATAGCATGAGAAAAATGAGATCTATCTCCTCGTGGATCCATGATCATCTCCATAAATGTTCTGTTATAGTTTTAGAGGAATAGAAAGGATAAAAGAAGGAGAAATTAGAATTGAGAGATTACAGAAAGGAGATACTTCATTCATTACTTGAGAAATCAATTCTTCTTAGCCATTGTTTTATTTAGTTACAGGTCTATAATTGTAATTTAAAATGTGCCAGCTGTCAGTACTCTATAACAGCTATAACTAACTCATATTCTCTTCTCTCCTCAGGTCCTGGGCCACCGAACTTGGGCTCATTCCTCTCTTGCTGGACTGCAACTCGGACGTCCCACTCCCTCTTGACTTCAACGTTTAATCTGCTCCACATCAGAAGGTAAATATCTCATTCCCTCTTCTTTTACTTTAATCCCTAAATCCCCAATTTCAAATCCCTCTCTTCCTTCGATCCCTAATTCTCCCTCATCAAACCCTAACTGATGTAAGGCAAATCTACACGCTTTGGTAAAAAGAGTAGATAGCCTTATTGTGTCCCGATCTAGGATTGACAAGTACTGATGTCCTTGAATTAATAAGCTTGGGCTGCAAAATAATATAAGAAAGAAATGATATTAATAATGGTCTTAAGAAATGAATATATAATAAAGAAAATGAAATAGAAAGAAATGAAAGAGAGATGGCTGCGGAATTATGGGATTGATGATGGTCTTGATGAAGGATGTTGATGATGTTAATGATGAAATGAGGATGGTGGTGATATTGTATCTCAAACTCGCCAAAGAGGAAACTATGCTATGAAGCACAATCCCGGTCTTCACAAACTTGCTTGAGGGGTGGTGATAGTGTCTTCAACCCACTAGATATCAATCTAGGAATTTTGGAATCAAGATGGAAAGAATGACGCCACAAGTATATGAATTATACTTGCTTAATCGATAAAGTTCACAAAGAACTTTGAAGAGAAATAACTCACAAGAGTATGTTTTATATAAGAGATGAGATCATTACAAATGAAATGCACTAGCCTATTTATAGTTTTTCAAAGGGTTTAGGCCGAATAGATACATGATGGTTCGGCTATGGATGAAACCCCTTTGAAAATACATGATTTTTAAATGAAAATACATGATTTTAATGAAGATACATGCTCTTGGCCGAATGGTAAGGTGTTGGTTCGGCCTAAGGATGTTTTGAATGCCTTTGGAAGTTATTTGGGCGCCAAAATGAAGAGGAAAGAGTCTTTGGCCGAATAGGAAGCATCCCTTGGTGTTTTGGCGCCAATTTGATGTCACATGGAGTGCACATGCTTGAATGATGCACATGGCAGCCTACTTGAACGCACATGGGTCTTCTTGCAAGCCTTTGGTGAGGTTGCAACCATAGGATAATGTCTTGAAGTCCATGGAATGAAGATGGCAGCAACTAGGCGTGACTTGGCTTCCAACATGCATCTAGGTGTCATGGTCTTCAATGGTCAGCAACTTGTCATGAAAGGTCACATTTGTGGAAGGTAACCTTTCATCATTTGAGCTACTTCCCATGTGTATGAGCTGAATATGAGCTGGTCATAGGTGAATTACATGAAGATGAGTCTTTGGCCAGCTCCTTGTGAAAAGGCACCTCTTGGAATGGCAACTCTTCGCGAAAAGATACGAATCCACAAAAATTAAATTAGACCATATTTGAAGTACTCTGTGTGGTGGTGATGATGGTGCAACTCTCCAGCTGAAATGAGGTCTCTAGCTAGCTCAAAAGTCCAGCTCAAGTGAGCTATGAGCTTGGGGGTCAGCTGATAACTTTTCACCATTTGTTCTTCATGATCTCCCGAGTCATCCTATGTAAGTTTTCCTAGCTACTTATCCTTAGTTAAGCTCAAATGTAGCTCCCAAGTGTTGGCCGAATATTCCTACATGCATAACATAAATAAATAAACTAAGTATATAAACTATATAATGCATATAATATAATGATGTGCATATTATAAAGATGTGAACTATAGGTTATAATAATAACTCATGCATCATATGATAATGAATGAATATTAATATTATAACTATAGATTATATACATGAATATCAATCAATGATACAAACCATAGGATATAATGAATGAATGCACATACTATTATAATTCAAGTATAGTCTAATATGCAAATGTATGCTCATAATAATATATAGTGCATAAATGAGTAAATATAATATAAAGTAAGGTATAACTCCCTTATATTGAGCATGATGAATCTTTAATGATGTGAATGTGTCATGGAGAAAGTTAGTGCTAGATATGATCACATCCTCCTCCCCTTCTTTTAGGCGATTTGTCCTCAAATCGTAAGGTAACTTCTCCTTAGTGTCTTTCCATTCAAATGTTG